AAACCTTTCTTACAAAAACCTTCAGCTTCCTGGGAAATAGTATGTCATTCTAAAATGAGACTGTATCATTGCTGCCCTAGGCAAAAATTTAACAAAGGATGCTGACATTAACCGGTTATATTTGATCAGTAATAATTTAGTTTACCAATTCACAGTTTAGCGATTTAGTAAGACCCTGTCTTGATTTAAAACAAAAAAGGGGCTGGGGGTAGCTCACTACAGAGAACTTGGTTTCAGTCTCCAGTTCTCTTTCATATATCTGTCCCCTGTCTGCTCAGGATCAAACCTAGGGCCATGTACATAGCAGACAAGCACTGAACCACTGAGCTGCGCCTCTTGCCCCAGAGCATACCCCCAGCTCCAGTTGCTCTTTGATTTGAATATTTGTGGTCACAATAATCTAATCAGGATACTAGTTGAATAAAATTCCTAGGAGAAAACTTTTCAAGTTCTTTTTATTTATTTTGCCAACATTGCAATTTTAAAATCTGCCGCCTACACCAAAATGAATTCATTCACAAATGTTTGATGAAAAGCAACATTGTAAAATTCTTTGGAGTGTAAAGTGACTCTTCCTTTAAGATACTTTTAATGTGGGGTATAAGACATACACATTTAAAATTTTTTAAGTATAAAAAGCAATAAAATAATGTTGGTAAGCTCTGCAGGTATGTTCATTCTCCAAGGGCTTCATTTCTCCAAGGGCTTCATTACTCCACAGCTTGTCAAAACACCACTTCTTATTCCCCCAAATTTGGCAAGGATTCTTATAAAATAATGGGAAAATAGCACTTGAGAAAGGAAGAGCTGGTTGTGATCCCAGTGCCTGTAGATGATGCGCAGTCAGTGCTGAATAGTCAGTGGATGAATAGGGAAGGCATAGAAGTACTGTTGGGTCTGTTTCCTTCAGTGAGAACACAGACAGGTTCTGTAGAAAGGTAATAAAATTATAAAGTGAATTCTCTATTGGTGTGTGAAACAATCTAAAGACTGTATGACAAAATACAAAGTAAATTAAAACTTAATTCACTTTAATGAACTGTGGTTGAGTGGATTTTTTGTTGTTTTGGTTTGGTTTTTCAGTACTTGGCATTGAACTCAGGACCTTCACACTGAGCTTTATCCCTGGCCCTTATTTTATGTTCACACTGAGCTATATCCCCAGCCCCTTTTTAAAATTAAGACAAGGTCTCACTAAGTTGCCCAGGTTGAGCTCAGATTTGCAATCCTGCTTCAGTTTCTTGGAGTGCTGTGGGATTTTAGTTATGTGTCACCACACCCAGCCATGGATGGTTCTTTTATTTATTTATTTATTTATTTATTTATTTATTTATTTATTATCATTGTTTTTCTCCTGTTACTGATTTGTAAGGTTCAATTCTTATATTGTAAGAATTTCGTTCTTTCAGTTAGTATTTATTAAGTACTTTATGCTAAATTTGGAGGACAGTAGTAGAAGGGCTGTCTACTTACAGGGACAGACATGAAAATATCAGTATAATATTGTGCTAGGTTCTCTTACCAGAGTGTTGTGCATAGTATAATGGACACAAGTGGGGTTTTAACCTCTTAAGTGTGTTAAAATTAAAATTTGGAATGTCATTGGTTTCTGGTGAGAAAAAATTATTTACACTACTACCACTAAATTGGTGCTTCTAAAACCTTTCTTACAAAAACCTTCAGCTTCCTG